GCTTATTGGGCATTAAGTCCCACATCATTGTTGATTGCTCCACTCAAATATTTTTGCGCAAAAAATACTTCTCTAATTAAATAGCTTTTATCTAAGTCATTCAGTCATGCGGGTGATGTCACAACCCCGGTGAGCACCCGACATCACACTCGGGGTGAATGTGATAGAGGCCCTTGCATGGATCAGGAGAGCAGGGCCGACAGGCCAGGATACCTGCATTCCTGAAAAAGGAGAAGGAGAGTGGGGCCCGTCTGTAACCGTTTCTGATTTCCCCTTCCAAGCAGTTCTGGTATTTTCTGTTTTCACTTACCTCAAGGTCTCTATAACAAAAAAACAGCATCTCAAAACCTGAGCAGCGTTAAAGCAAGGAAATGCTCCTTTTCTTCGCTCACAATTGAAATATTGGTAATCATGAAATTTTCACTTAGAATTATAACTGCTGAAGATATACATTCAAACTTCCTGGGAAGTTTTGAAACGATCTAAATTTTCCCAAACCTGAGCCCACACTGCAATCTCATTCGCTTTTTTTAAATACCAGGGATCACACTCATGATCTCACGCTTGCTGGGCAGCTGTCTATACCACCAAGCTACATCCCCAGCCCCCTACGCACTTTGGTGAGAAAACAACCGAGAACTTCAGGTAACATTTTTCACACCAAAGTGCATTCATTTTTTGTTATTAATTCTTTGCTGTTGTTTATGATAAAAACTTAAAGATGCTGCAAATACAATGTATCAATAATCTCAGTGTGCTTGGGCAAATATCACACAAAACGTACATTCTAATTAACTACTTGAGAAATGTAGACAGTGGTGCTGGTTGAAAGTCTACAGGAAATAAGAATGTCATTCCAGAACTGCAGTTATATTTCAATGTCTAAACAAACACAAATAATCCAAGAAACTATATTTCCAGCAGAAGTTTGAAACAGAAAACCGTAAAGTGCTGCCTGAAACATTTTCCTCTGAAGTATTTAAGGGAGTAACTGTGAGTCCTTTTCCATATTACAGTTTCCTGGTGAAGTTACATGAGAGATATAAGATTCACACATTATGTACTGATAATAGTCATTTTGATGTTATATTATTTTGATTTAATAATATGATTTATTAAATTTAAGAATTTAATATTATTCAATTAAAGAGAAAAATAAAACTTATTGGATAAAAAAACAACATATTTTCACGCTTGTTGTTTAATAATTTGAATATTTATCTTTGGAACTTAATGTGATCAAATTTGCTGCATTCAGTATTAGACTTAAGGCAAAACAAATAGAAACATATATATATATACATATATAAAAAACATTTCTTAGCAGTAAGAAGGTATTTTAATAAGTTGAAATTTAATATATGACAAAACAAATAAAGCTGTCATATTGGCCATGTCATACTATCCTAATCTTTTGAATTTTTAATCAGTAAATTTCAGCACGTAATTTATGCTGAAATTCCCAGAGTGTCCTTATCCAAGAGATTTATCATCACCTATTGCCTAACTTCATTAAAAATAATCTTAATGAAAACAGCAATGTACTATATATCATACCATACTAATCTACATAGCAGATTACACTAAAATATAATGCTAGTCAGTTTCTCTATCTCATGCAAGTGACCTTTCCAGTATCAATGAATCCATTTTAGCCCCTCTTCCTCGTGAGCTGATTGGCCAACACTTTAACATATAATGGGACAAAATATATACACTCTCAGGTCTACAGTGATAATTTACTTTATTATTTTATCTTTTCTAGAAGTTGAGTTTAAAATTAGAAAAAAATAAAACCATAAAGGCTTTGGTTTATTTTTGTCCAATTTAGAAACTTAAATTATTGTCTATGTATCTAATGATATTTTGCATTACTTTACATTTTCTTTGGTAAAATACAGCAATGATTTCTACTGATGTCAGCAATAGAGAAGAAATAAAAACTGCTTTGATGGTTCCAAGAGAACTGCTTCAGAATTAATCCAACTGGTACTTTCCTTTTTAAAACTTTTCAGATAAGAAACACCCAAATGGATTTTGAAGTTCATATAACCTACTGTTTTGATTTAATTTTAGTAAGTATTTTTCTCATCTCAAAACATTATAATAGAGTTCTAGTCATTTGTACATGACATTCACAAAACAAGAAAAAATAAATTTTACAAAACTCAAGTTTAAGGCTTCGTATTAGGTTTAGTTTAAATTCTTTACATGAGAAACTTTGGTTTCTATTATGTGTTATTATGTAACTCTACATAATGAAATATATCTGTAATAGACTTTAAAGTCCTCTTACACATTTCCTGAATCTTATTTACCTCTTATTGAACTTAATTTTACATTTTAAAAATTCTTGAGTAATTCAAATAAACTACTCAAGTTTAAAGAGGTTATCACAATTCATAATAAAATATGAAAAATATGTCATTAGTTTTAAAAACTATTATGCTTTCTTTATGAATCAGTATCCTATATCCAGATGTAGAATTTATTTGTTAAACAAATAATTGAGGATGTACATAGTACAGACAACCTGCTTATAACCACAATGAAAATGAAAACAGAGACAAAAAGCTCCCCCTATTCCAGATAATGCAAAATACAGAAAATGGGAAACACGGACAAGAATCTCAGTCCTTTCAAAATCAGCACCAAAAACTGTATGTGTTTGTTTGAGCTCCCCTCAGATGAAACGCAGGACGAGAGCTGAGAACAGGACTGTTTTCACCCCTCAAAGCTGCGTTAAGAGTGTGCCTGGCCTTATCTCTTCACTTAACTTCTTGTCCAACTTACATCTAACTCTGGGAAGCTGTCATAGTCGTTATTCTATGAATTATTTTGAATTTAGCTTTTAGAGGATCTCATGGTGATGTGAGCACATTATTTTGCCAGCTAGAAGAATCTATGTTGAAATGTGACAGGCCTAATATCCTAGCTATTGGGGTTCTGAAGAAGATTATAGCGCAAGCCCAGGATTTATGCAGGGCTACCTTGATGGGCACACAGAGAACCAGTCTTTCAAACAAACAAACAAACAAAGCACATAAGGAACCTCAATTCCATGAATTACAAGTGACTTCCCAAGAGCACACTCAGTGACTTGACTAGCTGAAGAATATCATTGTGCTGAGCAGAACAGCGATATGAGAGGAGCTTCCCAATCTCTTTTCCTAAGTATGTCATTAAATAATTTGTGCATTAAATAAATTAAAAAATGCAGTAACTTGAAGTTTCTGGGTTTATTACGTAATTCTTTCCAAGTGAAAGGCTCACGTCTGACCTTAGCTACGAAAAGAGCCAGGGTTTCAGCATTCCATCCACACACAGCTAGCACAAGAAACCCAAGCCTGACTGAGAAAATAATCATTTCATACATTTTGAAAGAGATCTTCCTTCTTAGTGTTCTGCAAACACAATCATTTTATACTTCTTCACACTAATATTCATGTGAAAATAATAATATTATTTTACAGTTAAACCTAATAGTAAAATTTTGAATGTATTCCTAACAAGAACAATACTTTGGGAGGTCTTTCCCTGCTGAATTCAGTAAAGGGAATGGATTTTCTATGGAGAATGTAAATACAATAATAATAGCAATTAAACTTTTGTAAGAGTTAAAATAAATTACAATGTTACCAAACACATTGTTACTGGAAAAAAGCCAACAAATATGTGTTTTACCTTTTCAAAAATATACTGATGCAATTAAAATATTCTAATTTTTTCTTTTATACAATTATTTTCTATTTCTGCTGCAAAAAATTATCATACACTTAATGACTTAAAACGATACCAAATTTCTATTTATTTACTTTAAACAGGGTCTTTCTATGCAGTTTAGGCTGTACTTGAGCTCATCAGGTAGCCCAGGCTGGCCTTGAACTCACAGCAATCCTCTGGTCACAGCGTCTCGAGTGCTGGGGTTACAGGCATGTACCTCCACACCAGGAAACACTCAACTTATTATCTCACACGTGTGTGGTCAGTAATGCTAAAACTGAAGTACTGAGGCTATCATCTGGTTCTATGTCTTCTAGGAAGGAATTTGCTTCCTTTTCTTTCAGAACTTATGAGTGTCAACCTCACTTCTGACTTAGAGGCTCTTTCTCCATTTCAAATCCCAACAGAAAGCATTTTATATCTGTTATAAACTATAAATCTGCAATATAACTTTATATTGTATGCCCTGCAACATTATGTATCTGTGCACTTATTTTTATAGCACAAATATACATGTAGGCTCATATGAGTTTATACAATCAGAATATTCATCAGCTTTTTCATTAATATTTGAGATGCATTCTTGTTTTACTGCCCAGGTGGATTTTTAACTGATGGATTCCAACGAACTCCTGCCTTAGCCCCTGGCACAGGAGAACTACAGTGTGTGTACCACACACAGGTTGGAAATTAGTATTCTTTTATTTTACTTTATTGTTGTAACTAAAAATAACTTTGTCATGTGTACAAGGGGGAATGCTAAAGGCAATTAATTAACCATGGTTGCCAAATACTTAAGGCACGACACTATCAAATTAGTCTATTTGCACCTTCTTTTTAGTGAAACAAATAATATTGATAGGCACTTTTTGTTACTTATTCTTTTAGTTATTTCTCTAAGTTAAATAGCTCTCTCAAGGCTCAAATTTGAAAAAAAAGTTGCAAAACTTTCATTCTATTTGTATAACTTCTAAAAATACAAATTGAGAAAAAAGTGTTCTTTAGGGGCAGATAGTATTTTAACATTGACATAAGCTTTTTAATTAGCTATTTCAGGAAATTGTGTTTAAATTATTCGTTCAGAAGAATGCACTCAAATTATTAGCCTGCTTTTACATTGTAAAACAACCAAAAAGACAATAAATAAATAAATAAACAAAATTGGCAAGATGTATTTGGTAAAAACAAAAATCCCCAGGGCAAATGTGGAGCACGTTTCTTCCCATCCGCACATACACTGAGTTTAAGGACCCAGAGCACGCGGCCGCGTGACCTACCCATGGGGGTGCCAACCCCGTAACCCTTGGAGTCTATGAGGCCGCCGATCTGCGTCAGGTTGCAGTTGCGCTGGGTGACGAACTCGATGGTGGTGGACTCCATCAGGAAGGCGTAGTCGGAGGTGAGGACGCGCTGGATGCCCTCCTCGTTACTCTTCACGAGCACAGACTGTCTCCTGCTGCTCATAAAAGCCCACATTTTGTCATATGTGGAGATTTTTGATTTCTACAGGAAGTAAAAATAAATTGACATAACAAGATTACTCAATTTCCATGCGATTCTGCAATGTTTAGACACAACTGTCTGCATTTAATTTACTCACATCACTCTGTAGCTATATTAATACTAATAAAAATAACAAGTTAAAAATATGTAGGAAATTTTTCTCAGAATACATCTTTAAAAAGTTATACTTTAAAAATTATACTATAATTCATTATACTTCGATATTATAAAACTTTAATTAATAAATAAATTGTGAAAATTTAAGATTAATAACAAGGATCTTCTGTCTTTAAATCTTTGGTGACCATCGTAGGTCCACTGTGTCATGTTTTTAACAACACTATAGTATCAAATTTAGACGAGACAGACACTGGACAGAGATTGATGTGGCATGAACTTTCGTTATTGACCACTTTGGTTAACTATAACCCAGATGTTACACTGGTCATTAAAGACACAAAAAGGTACAGATTGAAGAGAGGAAGAGAATTTGATACAAATAAGGTCATAAGTAAGGATGATCATATTTCCACTGAGACATAATCTGGTCAACATTAAAATATGTTTAGCTTGCCTACAGACAACCAAAATTCACCAATTAGGCTTACTAACTAAAAAATCCTGGACCAATAAAATTGAATAGATTTATAATCAACTGAAAATCTTCAGCAGGGTTTTACTGGAATTTCATTGTTAAAGAGAAATGAGTTTGTTCAAAGAACTAATAAAGCATAAAAATGAAAAAGGTTAGTATCTAATCATTGCAAGTTCATCTATGAATCTCCTGCCCTGAATAATGCTTATACAAATACTAAAATAATACTGAAGCTATAAACACATAAAGATAACATTCTGCTAGCACCATCATAAAAAGTCAAAACCATATTCAAATGAATACAACAAATTTTAATCTTTATAGGTTGAGTGTGCTTTCATCCGTACATGCACAATCCACACAAGTCATGTTAGTTAAGCCACTTACACTAAACATAGCGTATGTGTTACTCAGAAAATTTCTGACAGCATGAATACTAAAGTGAAAATACAACCCTGATAGTTTATTAGAAAAAACTAAAGTACCAAAAATAAATAAAATGAAACAAAAACTAAAGTGCAGCAGACGTGATTTAGTGATAAAATAGCATTAAGACTGTGAGTAGAAATAGAAACCTTTGAAATACATTGGAACGTTACAACACACTAAGAGGTAATGATGCCAAATTTAAAAGATCGCGTTTAAAGCACCCACCATCATACCTGAACGATCACAAGTTTGAGAAAATATGTTCGTATTTCTAATCTTTAAAACACAAAGGGGAGGCGTAAAGAATGTGTAATTATATTAGGAAATTCGTATTGAGATCAGTAAAGCTAATAATGAGAATTTTCAGTTTCATTTGTCTGAATCAAAAAGTAATAGCATAACAGTAAAGAACAAATTCGCTTTTTTCTTAGAACTTCTCTTCTAATATTTTGGATGAATTGAGGACCAAATGTAAAAGAACTCAAAATTTGAGCTGGTATGCACATTAAGTGAGTTTTATAAGAAATAAAATGAAGTTTTTTAGTGTGATCCATACTTATCCACTTCCTGAATTTCATGTTGACTAAAGGAGTTTCTGAAATTCAAACCCAGTGTATCATTCAACTTTATTTCCACAGAAAATTAACAGAGAAGACTAATATTTGGGCAACTTTGAACACTCTATCATTTTTAGTAATGAAGTGGGTAGAGTAAATCACAGGTTTAGAAACAAAAATATGTGTAGCTTGAATTTTCCTGAAAGTCTTACATTTAAAGAAAGAGCCCTTATGAAAAAAAGCACTTGAAATAAGCTCTTAAATTAAAAGTGAAGGGCACTTTTTCCCCTCAAGACTGACAATTCATAAATAATTGATCACTTTCGTTTTAGTAACTATACATAAATTCAGAAGAGGCGGTTTGCTCACAAGTGATGGCCGGTACTTCTGTACTTCTTATCAGTGTAATATGCACACTTACGAAAGTCACTTCATCTCTCTAAATTTTAGTTTGCATAGAAGTCAAACATTCTTGTCAAACTCACAGTGATTTTGAAGATCAAGTAAGTCATCCTATATAAATACTCTACTTTCTATTGTTGTAGTAAGTAAGTATGTTGTAGTAAGTAAGTATGTTGTAGTAAGGTCTTCCATAATGCTAATTATTTAAAAAAATAGATTATAGTACTGTCTTGTATTTGTGTGTCATTTCCTTTAAAAATGCCAAGAATTCTTGCAAAAGTTGCATACATTCTGCCTCCTATAGTAGGAAATCAAGAGAAACTGAAGAATGAGAAAAGATGTAACAAAACAAAATTTTGGATGCTTAAAATTAAGAGAGATGCGCAACTGAATTAAAAATACATTAAAATCCACTCTTCAACCACTTCAATGGTTCAGATGGTGGTGATTCTATACCCCTTTCAAAGACAGAATGAATATAGATTGGCCAAAATTAAAATGCATGGACAGAAAGTCTTTAATAGTTAAACAGCCAAGCTTGCCTCTGAGCAGCACAGTGATAACCCCGTTCCACTGAGCAGAGCCTGCATGTTTTATTTCTGGAGAAGAAGCAACATCAGAATGGAGACTGCAGAGGCCACAATGAAATCAGGAGGAATAAACTGAAGTCCACAGTCAAGGCCAACGCATGAGCTCTATGACCTGCCCTGATTCTTAGGATCCTCTTAAAAGAATACTATTTTTTTTTAAGCAAAACTGAACAGCTCCAGTGAGGTAGCAATAATAATAATAATAAATGACAGAAATCAGCCCATAAAGTTCAGCATACACTAGGCTATTCAAAAAACTTTTACAAATACTAAATTAATTTTCATGTTAAGCCTAGTAAGTAGGCTATTAAGTAGATATTTTCCCCCTTTTAATAAACCAAAAAACCCCACAGCTATGTTGTTAGCCTACCAAAAATCACATGGCTACTTGGTAACAAAAATTGGAATTAAACATGCACTAATCTTAGCTCCAGGGTTCATGTTATTGATCACTGTACTTTACTATCTACATGTGAAGATACATACAATTGATTTTTTCAGTTAAAAGGTTGACTACATACTGGGCAGTGGATGAAACTCAGCTTGAAGTAAGCACTCAGAGCTTGCACTGGCCCTTTTTGAATCTATCAGGTACCAAAGCACAGAAGGAACTGATATATTTCAGGAAAGTAATATAAAATATAAAGCCCAACATGGAGTAAAGATCTTCAGAGCAGTAAAAGACGTTCAACAAGAGAAAGACAATAAATGAAACCTATACAAAGAAAATCCACTCACAGAAAGTACATGTTAAAATCGGTTATCAAAAATGAAAACATCAAGTAAAATATTGAAAGGTAAACCTGGAGAAATCTGCCTAGAATGAAATTCAATGGACAGAAAGAAAATGAAAGTGTTCCCAAGGAGCTGAAGTTATTGGCTAAAGAAAGATGAGTCAATGTGAATCACTGTGAGAGAGATCAGCTCTGTCCTAGAGCAAGAGGAGACTGTGAAGAGATGCTGCCCTAGACACGAACTTACCGGCCCTGATAACCGAAGGAAGAAACTGTTGGTTAGGACACCAAAGACAAACGAAATGGTGCTAAAAACTATGAAAAGCAGACCAGGGGTGAACCGAGAGAGCCTAATGTTTTCCTAAACATTCGAATTTAGGCAAGCTCTTCTCTGCCTCCAGGACTCAGTTTCCTGCTGGCCCCTGTAATTCCGATGGATCACTTTCTTACATCATTTACTTTAGAAAACATGTAACTGTACATTTTCCCTTGACTCTGAAATCTGAATCTCTTGGAAAGTCTCTTACCAGTTGCATATCTCAGGACTGTGTCACCGCCTGGGAGTGCAGCTTTTGAAATGAATCAGGAGAGGAGAGTCTGACTAACTTCCTGCCTTTGTGGCAGGGGGGAACCTAACTTCAGTGGGCATCTGTATTCCAACTGCCAAGCTAACTCTTGTTCCAAAGATAAGGAGAAAGTTTATTTCTTCTTTGAACTAAGTCAGTTAGCAAACATAGATTGTTATGAACCAAAACCCCATCCAGTTCTTCAAACCTTAGCCAGGGATGGACAGGGATGGACAGGGATGGGGGATTTCAAACAGATTAAGATGGATTAAGATCCGTTCCACCAGGAATGTATTCATTATGTATTAAAAATATGTACCACAAAAATCTCCCTACCCTAAAACATCTTATCCTTGTTCTAATAACTTCAGAGTACAGTTTGGCTTGTTTTTCTTATTAGAATAAGACCTGATTATCTGTTTAACTTTTCCCAGAGCAAGTTTTACTTCCATGGGGTCAAGTCTTTACTTCATTTAAAACATTTACTGAAACCCTTGATGTGCTAAGCATAATTCTGCACATCATCTGGGTTCCTAATGGATGTGTGAGCCATTAGCATGCAGGAATACAGCAGATGTGTCCCTTCATTACTGGAGCGGTGAGGAGCAAGGCAGGTATGAGACAGATTTGGTGATTTCAAAGAGATGGTAAGACTGCTGTGTGGAGGGGGGCTTAGCTGTAGCAAAGGAAGACCTTAGGAGGACCACTTAAAGCCACAAAGAGACAGCATCAGTCTCGGTGTGTGGATGAGGGACACGTTGCTGACCATGAAAGACATCTCGAAATTCAAGATATTCATAAAGCCTTGTTACAGCTCTTGGTCATTCTTGGAATATATGAAGTAAAGAGGAGGTTTAAATTGAGTTAGTCTGTGGTTTCTAGCTTAAATTTGAGCTTGAGAGAGAGAAATAGAGACAGACAGACAGACAGACAGACAGAGAGAGAGAGAGAGAGAGAGAGAGAGAAATCTGAAAGTAAATGATCAAAGCTAATGAGTTAAGTGGCTGAGAACCATCCAAAGCGATGCATCATGTGAAGTTAGATATGTAAGTCAGAAGTTCAGTAGAGAGTTCAGCGCTAAAAATGCAGCTCTTGGCTGTCCTCTTAGATATAGATGACAAAGCAGG